CTGTGGCACGTATGTCACTCTCTCTGACATTAAAAGTTAGGCAAATAGACAAACGAGTGCACACAAACTGAGCATGAATATTTCATGCAGCAACCTGGGAGCCAAAAGTCATTGTTTAACTTAAACTAATGAACATTTTAAAGTGTTTTTTCCAGCCGTACGTGAGTAATTAAGTCAAATGTGACTATCACATGTAAACGGAGTGCATACCTGTAACATGTTCCAAAGAGCGGCCGTGTTGTTCTGCTTCAGTAGGATTACCAACCATTTCACACTCTCATGCTCATGTGTTCCTCCCTAATGTTTAACATATAAAACCAGAGTCGCTCCTCTTCTTATGAATGTTGGGAGCACTGGTCTTTAATCTTCTGCTTCCTGCCTGCTCTTCATTCAGGTGGTCAGTGAATAAGGGGCGGGTTTAAAAATCGACTTTAGTTTGAATAAAGTGACATCGATTCATTAAATCCTGAATCGATTTTTAAATATAAATGTATTTTGTCAGAAATGCCAGAATCTCAGCTTAAAGCTCAGAAAACTACGTCAACAACCGGCGAACAGCTAAAACAGGAAATGAGCGCCGGTAGTCCACGGAGTCCACAGCGTGGATCGTGGACACGTCGGGTGCTGAACGCAGACATCTCACAGATTCTGATGCTGCAGGTTGAGTAACTCCGACTAAAACTGACTGAACCCGCAGCAAAAGGAGATCCAAACTACACTTCATGTTTCATAAGCATCGTCATCTCGGACCTTTGCTGTTTTGCTTCCACCACGATAAAATCACACTTCCTGCACAGCTCTCTCTGTACTTCAAGAACAGTTTCCCGTCTCAGATCTGTTTCTGCATTACTCTCTGCTTACTAAGCATCAGCCTACTGCTGTCAAAGAAATGTAAACTTTTAAAAATTATACCAAATTACAAACTCTCAGCTGTGTCTCTGATCAAACTCTGTAACTTTGCTCCGCTTCTCTTCAGCAGCATCAGCTAATGTTCAGATGTTGATTGGTGGATTTATTATCTGCTATAAAAGCCAGGCCAGGAAAATCTCCTTCATGTTTGATCCTCAGTTACTTTGACACAAACACATCTGCTGTGATGTTCACACCTCTGAAGTCTCACAGCGTCAGCTTTGTTTGTATACACAGATACAAAAATGTGGACATGTACTGATAAATGATCAGTTATAATATTTCTGAATCGAATCGGGAGCTTGTGAATCAGAATTGGATCAGTGGTAGAAATCAGTGACGACGCCCAGCCCGACACTTAATCTTGTTCAATTATCAACTTTGATTCAAACTCTTCTTCTTTTTTGTACCTGAGCCACAGCACGTAGCTAAATACTCCCAGTACCACAGACGATCCACTCAGAATGAGTCTCACTCACTAGCATATCTATGGTGGTGGGAACAGAGTTGGTGATGAGCAGGTTTCACGAACACAGCTGTTGGTTTACGTGTGCGTGCAGAGCGAGAACATTTCTGTGCACACGTTAATGAATGAGGCCCAGCACGTCCAGTTAGGGTTGTGCTGATGGACGCCGCGTCACAAATCATTGATGGTCAAAGTAAGCAGTGGTAGCTCGCCAGTCCAGACCATTTCAATTTCACTGCTCCTCTAATGCATTCTAGTTTTAATAATAATAATTATGACTATAACACTGTATTATAATGATGATGATGATAAATTCAATCTGCATTGGTACGGTTTCCTCCTGCCCAGACACACAAAACGTGTGTGTGTGTGTGTGTGTGTGTGTGTGGGGGGGGGGCACTGGTCTATCATCGTCAAATAAAAGAAAGCAGAGGAATTTTGTGTGTGATGTACTTCAGTGCTCCACTGTAGTGTGACGGTGCATCTGCAGAGACACTTGTTTCCATTTTTGCCTCTTACCTGTAAAAGGCCAATGGAGTCATTGGCTGCTGGGCGGCCACTGAAATGATCCCATCGGTGTATCTAGTAGGAGTCTGAGGGCTAGCACTAGCTGCCAGTATGTATTTATTTTATCCCACTGGTGGTTTTTGTCCCAAAGCTATAAACACTTTGCCATGTGCACGTTGTGTGCTTTGTGGAGGGTGGATAACCTCCCCTGCACATGGTGGGAATGTTGTCGTCCACTGGTGATGCCAGAGGGGAACAAAAGGACCATGGGAGTATTGAGCAACCTCACCCCCAATTCATTGTTGACATTAACCCCTTAACCCGCCAGGATGTTCCCAACAGGTTCACTTACCTGCCACACACATGATAGCATACATTTAGGGGGGTAAGCAGACTCTGTGAGTGTGAGAATGCTAAGCCAATGAGGTTACAGACTATTATCAGTAATCTTGCAAACACCTCACTCTGGTGTGCACGTGTGTCAGGAAGTGTGAGGAAAAAATAGTGGGCGTGTGTCCTCTGTAGGAGAAACATGAATATGTCAGATTGGCGTGCGTGCGTGGGAGGGGGGGGGCTCATTATGGTGGTCAGTCAGCTCTGTGCATCAGATTAGTGAAGAGAAAATAGGCCAACATCTGTCACCCTGACAAAAGCTCATCATCTGGTCTGCCACTCTTTGTTCCCCTGCTGTATTCTGTCATGTTGCCGTGTATGACAGTTAAAATGGAGATGGTCTTTTGGGGTTCATTGCTTGTCTTTTTATGATCCCAGCGTCTAATAATTAACAAAACACAAAACCAAAAACGCCCCACACAAGTTCAGGATCAGAAAGATCCAGATTTTAAAATCATGATTGTTACCATCCAGGATCACATAATTCATGTTGCTTTTGTTTTTCAAAGGCGTCCAGCACTGGACCACTCGCATCCAGAGTGGTTTATTCTTTATTGTTTGTTCATTTATTTCAAACATGTAAACAATATACAGGTACATGTAGTAAAGAGAATAAGAGAGAAAAAAATACTATACAAAAGTTAATACTTTTCAATATTGCTACTGTTCTGATTCATTTACATGCAGGGCTCGCAAACTTTCAAAACCCCTGGTAGCCCTTCGGGCAGGGACTCGTCAGTTTTAGCCCAAAATAAATGTAAGTAGCCCGAATAAAAAAGAGCAATTTTTTGATTGATGTTTTGTTTCTGTTACAATATTATACATTAAAGTATAATATTGTAACGGAAACAACACATTAATCAAAAATAGTTTAAACACAAATTACAACATTGTATAAAAATTACAATCATCAACTCAAATATTTGGTTCTAATTGAACAGAAGTTTCTATGAACTTGTAAGAACTGTGTAGGACATGAATCAGTCTGTCAGAGCCTGAATCTGACATTTCCACTGAAGCCACGGTAAGAGACAAGTGGAACCAAGATCGAGGCCGTTTGCTTTTGAAGTTTGCACAGACGGCTACATTGTGCCAGTGGTCGTTCACTCTTTGCAACATAGTAGCTGTTCTAAACTGATTTTCAGGTTTATTTTTAGT